AAGGGGGGGGGGACATTTGAAATAAGAAAAAACCTTTTTCTCATATATTAATATCCCCTTTAAAAAAAGGCAGTTTGTTAAGTTCGATTCCTTAAAGAAATTTCTAAAAGAATCGATGGGAAAGGCCATTTCCAGTGGCCTCATTTTGGTTATAACCGCCACAGGAACTCTCCTGCTCAACTGACAACATTTAATCCACCTAAGGAGGTTATCTCTACTTGCTCTCCTGCTGCACTTAATCCCCGAAGGAGCTCATCTATTAATAATTGTAAATAAAACCTCTACAGATCATTCCTTATCTACACCTTCAGACCAAAAGTGTTCTGAGTATCAGGTCAACCTCACATTCAAGAGGCATAAAACTGGACTCATCTTTCTCCAAAATGAGATTTGCTGTGCCCTTCTTCAGTCATCCGGGTACCTGAGAGTCCGTCACCATTCCTTCCTCTGCATGACGTTATGGACATAAACCTTCCCTTTTCTTTTGGGATCCTAGCTTCTGGCTCATTTTATGTTCTGATGGGTGTTAGCACAACTGATGGCTATGGCCATTGCCGCTGAACGGCTTCCTTCTTTTCTCTCCTCCAATCCCTCTGTTACTCTGTGGACAACTGAATTCCCGAAAGTCCAACTCTTTATATACTCAAATTTCTACTGTTCCCCGACACCAACTTTGTAATACTGTGGCCACTTCCGGTTCGGGGTTCAGTTATAAGATCTCTGACCCACCCTCATTTTGTTTTAAGGAAAGCATAGGCATTGCCAAGCAGCCAGGCTACAGGACAACAGATAAACCAACTCCCAATGTGGCCCCAGAGCTCATGCGCACTGCAGCAGGGCATAGCTGGAGGGAGAAGTCTTCAGTTACACCGAGGAGATGACTCAGATGTTACGGTGTTTTTTTAAATTGATTGACTTTAGAGAGAAAGGAAGAGGGGAAGAGAGAGAGAGAGAGAGAGAGAGAGAGACAGACAGAGAGAGAGAGAACCATGGATTTCTTATTCCACATACTTAAGCCTTCATTGGTTGCTTTTTGTACGTGCCCTGACCTGGGATTGAACTGCAACCCTGGAATATCAGGATGACACTCTAACCAACCTACCCACCCAGCCAGGGCAATGTTAAGTTTTAATAGTGTTCTCACTAACCTGTGAGACTTTTCATACTATCCACGTATCAGGTAAAGAAGTATGTCAACCCTGAGCCCAAATAGTTGTTTAAAAAATATGGTCAGCAAATCAAAGTCACTAGATGGAGTTTGGCTTAAATCCCATCCTTCGCAGGCGGTGAAGCACGTACTCCTAACTAGCGAGGGCGGCTCTGCTTCTCGGAGGGCGGTGCTGCATGGCCTTCACGGGGGACTCTCCACACGGTGGAGGCAACGGTCTCTAGAGTCCCGTCCACTCTAAGGACACGTTGCATAAGCACTGAGCAGAGATGGGCCACGATGGTCACGAGATGGTCACGGGAGACACGAGATGGGTTCACGCCTGGCTGGCGGAGGAAGCATTTCTAGCTGATACATGTTGTAAGAGCTTCTCTATCCCCTTTTGGTATGTAATCTACACGTAGGAAAACGCATGGGGTTGCATGGTCCCTACTGGAGGGCTTCACAGAGACTGGCCACGTGGTCACAGTGGCATTATAAAGGGGACCCCAGCCTCAGCTGAGGGGAAAGAGGGCTGGGAGGCCACCTTAAATCCTCTCCAAATTATGACAATTAGATTCCTATGAGCATTAAGAAATACTCAACTGAGTTTACACACCTGGGGCATAATCTTTATAGCTCACACAACCTGAGAGTGAAAGATTTTTTTTTTTGACATAGGCTTTAGGCAGAAGCAAAAAAAAAAAAAAAAGGCTTTGCTTGCAGATGTCAAATCGCTGCCTACCTGTGCAACAAGTGGTTTCAAACATGTGTCTGTCTAGAATAGTGGCTCCCAACGACTTCTGAATCTCAAAAAATTTCTTCATTCTCTCCTGCCTCCAAGAGAGCGTAACTTTTATTATTTACTGATCTACACTTAGGATTCTTATTGGAGGCTTTCCCCTGCCACTACCTCCAGGGGGTGAGTAATAGGTGGGTTGGGGGTCGGGGGGTGGGATGGTCGTTGTTTTAAGGAACGGAAATCTTTGGCCCAGTGACTATTCAATGTAAGGCCATTTAATATAGTAAGTTCCAGAACAACAGAAACGTAACTTTCATTTACCTTACTAGTTAGCATCACATATTCCTCTAGTGTGCCATGGAGACAATGGAGCCAACGGGGTGATGACTGACAGTCTCCTTATGCTGGCTTAGTCATGTGACCCTGCGACAAGCAGGTGGTGAGGAGGGCTCTAGGCAATGGAGGGATCTCCCGATCTCTACCCCACTTTCCCTCCCCCAACGGACTCACCCAGTCTCCTCCACTATTGTTACTGCAGTTTGTAAATGCCTATTTAATGTTTCAACTCACTACAGAATCTTAAAAAAAATATTTGATTTTAGAGAGAGAGGATGGAAGGAAGAGAAAGAAGGTGGGGGGGAGGGGGGAAGAGAGGGAGAGAGAGAGAGAGAGAGAGAGAGAGACACTGATTTGTTGAGCCACTTATTTAGGCACGCATTCATAGGCTGATTCTTGTATGTGCCCTGACAAGAATCGAACCTGAAACCTTGGTGAATCAGGACGATGCTCTTACCAACTGAGCTCCCCCACCAGGACCTCACTACAGCATCTTAATGAAACCACCTCTTGCTTCAGATGCAAGATAGAAATTGCAGTTCTGATTAAATATTTACTAATAAATTCACCATCGAGAGAAATAATGTACAAGATGTCACATTTATTACAATGTATAAAGTTAGAAGAAAATTATTTTGCAAAATACCATATTTTAGCATGTGTGGATATATGTATTTTCACTCTTCTATTCACAAACCTCTCCTTAGTTCCAAGTTCACTGCGTCTAGAAAAATCACTAGTAAAGTTGTCTTTGAAATATTCTATGTGAAGTTCACATGAGCAAGAAAACATTAATTTTTACCAATTAAAAAATGATTTCACCCAAAACAAAAACACACCATGATTCCATAGTGAAACATGTTAAGAATTCCCAAATCTTCCCATCTTTATGGACGTACACAAATGAATCAAGACACCATACTGCTGCCCAAGGTATAGTACCTCTCCAGAGGCCTAAACATCTCAATGTTTTTAACACCCTTCTTCAATCCAGAACTTTGATTTTGAATACACAGCACTGAGAGTTGTAAAACTACCAAAACATTTCAGTGCAACTGACAGGCAACTTGACCTTGCACAGGGAATCCTTTGTTTCAAATCTGAACAACTCATCCCCTGCCATAAACTGGAGCAGAGGCATCAATGACATGAAATTCGTGATAAAAGATAGTAACCATACCCTCAGTGGTTGACAGATAGGATTTAGAAATCATACCTGGGAGTTTGAATCCTGGTTCTCCTACTTGCTAGCTATCTATCTGCCTCTGGGCTACTTAATTTTAACCTTCAAATCTATAAATCAGAGAGAGTAGCTATGACAAAGGGTTGCAATGAGGATTAAGTGACATACGCGAAGCACTCTGTAAGTGCTGGCTGTTGTTACTTCTGTAAGTTGGGCAGAGAGAGAACCTCTAATGTAGTCCTGACGCCCATCTCAAAGGGTTTGGTCACATGCAACCCGAGCGTGAACACCTCTGAGTTTCTGCAGGGGCAGCTGTGGCATCGGGATCTGCGCTGCCCAGTAAGGATGGCCACTAGCCACAGGTGGCTAAGGAGCACCTGAACTGAGTCTAGTCGGAATTAGGGTGTGCTGTAAATGTAAGATACACATCAGATTTCAAAGACAATAAGAAAAAAAGAATGTCTAATATCTCAATTAAAAATGTTTGTTTATTGTTGACATGATAATGTTTTGGAAATACTGGGCTAAATAAAACATCAAAATTAATTTCACGTGCTTCTTTTCATGTTTCTTTTTAAACTATGGGTATCACAAAATGTAAAATGACCTAAGTGGCTCGCCTTATCCATGCTTGGACAGAGCTGATGAGGAATCAGCACCGGGGAGCTCGGTGGAAAGGCAGGTGCCAGGCCCCGCCCAGCCCCCTGAACCACATCTGCACTTGAACGTGCAGCCAGGCGGTTCTCACGTTGGCTCCAGGGCACCAGCTGTTGAGCTGAAGAGGGCAGTTCTGGCCCTCGAGTCACATAAATGCCAATACCCTTGCTTTCTTTAGGGAACTGCTCCCAGAAAGGAAAGTGAAGGGGTAGAAAGCGGTGGCAGAGGAGTAAGGGAGAAAGAAAAAGAAACTCAAATTACAGGAACAAAATGCGGCAGGTGGGGGAAAGCCAACCTGGGAGATTCCGTGGAAGGGAGCTTGCAGACTTTTGCCTCCTTTCAATGTGGAGGGAGAAGCAAACAGAGAGAAAACCTGTAAGGAAGGAGCAGGAAGGAAATCGCGAGACAGATCAAGTCTTCCCCGCCCCTCGACGGCCTCAGCTAAGTGAGCTGGGCCTGGGCCCGAGGGCACCTGAGGCTGGGGTGCGGCGCGAACCGCCATCCGCCGCAGAGCTGGGTGGTTACGCGGGGCGCCTATCGACCTTTCGTCCAACGCCGCATTTCCCGAGACACACGACGCACTTACCGGGACTCACCTGCTTCCGAGAGGCTCTAACGGCCTGCCCCTTCGCCGCTGCCACCTTCGAGTCCTTCTGCAGAGAGCCCGCCCCCGCCGGCCCAGGCCCTACTCCCATTGGCCAGGCCGCTCGTCACTCCCGGACTCTCTGAGCTGTCGAGACCGCCATAGCAACCGAACTCGGAACTACATCTCCCGGCATGCTCTGCTCGGAGGCGAGGGGAGGTGCCGCACAGGGGCTACCAATAAATGGGTGAAGTTGTAGTCACCTGGAGGGTTCCGTTTTATGCAAATTTCAGTTAAAGACCACACCAGTTTTCATTCCAACCGTTTGCCCTACCACCTTCCTTGGACTGTGCCCCGCCTCCCTTTTCGCCTTAGTTATTCTCTTCTTTAAAATCTTCCTTAACTAGATTAGTTGAATGCATCCTAACTAGTGTCTCGCGTGGCAAAGGACAGACGCACTGATCCCAGAGCAGAAGCTTGTGGTTACGCCTTCTGGAAAGGGGGCGGGGAAGGAGACGCTTATGCCCGCCTCCTTGGAGCTTGCTGATTGGTTTACTGGAATGTCATTCCGTCCTCTTTCATCTTTATTGGTCCCTCTCTATGGGTTCCCTAGGTGGGCGGTACTAGAGGCGAGGGGCGGTGAGGAGGTGCGGACTCCTTCTTCCGATTGGAGGCTGCTTGTCCCCACCCACCTATGGGCGGAGTCAGAGGGGGGATAGGGGCGGGGCAGGCCGCGGAGCGAGATGAGCAGATAGGCGGGAGCGAGGGAGCGAGGGAGGGCGCGACGGAGGTAGAGAGGAGCGGAGAGAGGGAGGGAGCGCAGCTTGGTTGCTCCGTAGTACGGCGGCTCGCGAGGGAGAGCCCCTCGCGGACTCGGGGACGCCCGGAGAGGCGGGCGGGCGGGGATGGTGTGCGGGGCCGCGTCTCCTGCGTCCCTCCCCGCGGCGAGTGAGCTGCACTGATTTGTCCCGGGGCGGGCAGCGCGGACCCGCCCGGAGATGAGGTGAGGAGCGGGCTGCACCGCGGGGCCTGGCCGGGGACGCGGCGGGCGGGTGTCCGCGCGGGGGGCGGGCGCGAAGGCCGCCCGGGGCTCCCGTCCCGAGGGCCGCCTTTCAGCCTTTGCCGCGCGCCCGGAGGCCCGGCAACGGGGGCCCTCGCCTCGTCTTCCCTCCCCCGGGGGCGGCCG